AAAAAAAAGCTTTTCAACCGGGGAATTCGAAAATCATCCTACCTTTATAAAAATAATGCAGTTTATGTAATTACATCAAACTTCAGGGGCAGCTTTTACAATTTATGGGTGTTCTTTTTGCAGTTCAAATGCCACCACACAAGGGAAATTCAAAAGCTCTAAACCTTGTGAGCCAGCATTCGAGAAGTGAGCTTATGCTGGAGGTTTGCACACTCAATCGCAACCCGGCTGATTTCAGCATCCCTGATGCGAAAAACGAGTTCATGATAAGCGCCAAGGATTTGAAACCAAAGAAGAGGAATTCGAGTTGGTCCAAGGATAGAGCCCGCCCCGCGAATATGGATGGCCCAAAGAGACAGAGGGCTAGAAAAGACTCGTCCATAAAGAAAGCTTGAGAGAATAACAGCTGAGAAGATTATGATTATCCCTTTCGAGCCTTATGGATCAATTGTTTGTGTTCGATCTTTGTTGGTTCGACTCCTAGTTTAACCTTTTTTTGTTAAGGTTTTGAGGTTTGATGCTGAGACAGTTTAGTTTGTGGTGTTTGTTGTCTTTATATATGGGAATTTTATTTATTTTGTTTTTGTAGCTGAGGATTTTTCTTCAGGATTTGTTAATATGTGTACAAAAAACTCGGCTGGATCTCTCATTTGTGACTTGTATTTCCATATATGATAAACTTTTACAGGGTTGGAATATATGTGTTTTGCTTTATTACTATAAAGTTTTTTTTTTTTTTGGTTAATCCTAAACTTGTTCTGTCCTATTTCCGTGATCAGTATATATGTACTTGGATAAGAAAAATGATGATGTCTGCATATTCAGCTTTGTTTCAGACAGTTCTGTGCTGAAGTAAGGTGTGTTTTAATTTTTCTAATTTCAGTTTTATATTTTCCAATTATTTCACCAAATTATGTCTATATGTGAACAAAACATTTTAAAACTATATTTAATTTAATCAACTTCTGTTTAAATAATTAGTAAATCATCTTAATATATTTACCTCTTGATTTTTATTCATCATTTATATAAAGCTCACTCATGTTTTACTTCAAAAACTTGAGAGAATATTCGGTGATGGATTCAAAGTCCAATAATAATTGATCTACAGTTTTGATTAGTAGTTTCTGTTAATTAAATAACATTTGGTAAATTATGTAAAACACAGGCCCTATCTTATTTCTTCAGATATTCAGGACGAATTTGGAAAATAATTATTCAATTAAATCCATTATTTTATAATTTGTTTTGTTTGATCTCTGAAAATAGTGAGGATTGAGGAGTGCAGCTGTTATTAGCTAGGACAACCCTACTGAACACCTTGTAACCAGAGACCCTTTTTTTTATATTTTTTTATTTTTATAATTAGTTATTGTTTCTGTTGAGAATGATTTCAAATTATAATGTTCTTTTTTTTTCCTGATGCGAAAAAAAAGGTACTTCATTAATCATTTGCCTTAAATTGTCTATGAAAAGGATAACTGGGAGAGAGCTTTAAACCCCATCTCCTCTTATTTTTTTTTATTTTATTTTATGTATATATATATTTTGAAAGTTTTCTCATTGAACTAAGCAAAACCAATAAAAATACTATTCACCCCATTGATATCTTTCATTTTTCTAAAATTATCCATTTTTTTTCGCTTCATATATTGTCATAGTTGAAGTTTAATAATTGTATTATTTATAATATGATAATTTTTATTAATAAGTTGTAAAAAGTTTTCCCCCACGATACCATCAAGCCTATCCTTTGCCTTTGACCCAAGAGTAACACGCAGCAGCAACATACACAAAAAATGACAAAAAAATAAAAACAAAAAACTAACTGCAATGCAAGATATTAGCTGAAAAAAAAACATAAAAACACAAAACAGAAACGAAAACACACTAATAAAGCAAAATAATCCAAGAATTTGTACTAAATAGGATATCTTCAACCATATAATTTATTAGTTACTGCAAAGCTAAATGATGCGTATAAATAATCTTTTAACTTTATATAGTCACATTCAAATCTATTATTATATAAAAAGATTAACCATTTAACAATTTTAGCAGTTATTTCCCGCCAAATACATTTAATGCCTAGTAAATATAGATTTTCGGACATTATTAATCTGTTGGCCTTCAAACTCGGACCTAACAATTTGATCCCGTATGATTTTGAATAGCTATCCTAAAAGATATTTATTTTACAAATATAAAGATAAAGATTATTTTACAAATAAAAATTCTAAAGAAGTATTTGATTCACCAGACTCTTTAATTGCTATATTGGCCTTCAAACTCGAACCTAATAATTTGATCCCGTATGATTTTGAATAACACTCCTAACAAATATCTATTTTACAACAATAAAGATAATGATTATTATATAAATAAAAATTCTAAACAAGATTAACTGAATTCTTATGATTGCTATCTTATTTTAAAATAATTTAGGTTATAGTTTTAGTTTGTTTTTTTAATTTTTAACAACCGCATTGTGTAGCTGTTGTTTTTCATTTCATTGAATAGAATAAGCAGCATTAGAGCTGCAAATGAACGCTTGCAAGTATTATTATTTGAGAACTTGGTTCGAAATTTTTAATAGTATATTGGAATATTACTTATTTTTATAAATTTTTTAGTTTATTTCAATTATTAGCTATCACAATACATATTACTTATTCATACATTACAACATACATTGAATACCGATTTTTCGAATATTTAATTTATAATTATATAAAGAGCCATCTCATTTATTAGAATTAGTAGAAAGAAAAGTCAAAAGTAATTAATGCATTCAATTTCTATCAATTAATTTTTATTTAATTGTTTTTTTTTTTCCATAAAATCGATACAAAAAATAAATGTACGTAAAACAAAAAAAAGGCATATTTGATCGGAAGATAAAATCTTGATTTTACAAAAAATAAATCAGATATCAAGAGTTTGGTTGTCTATATAGATATTGATTTACGTAAATCAATACATCTAATATTTATAGTTTGTGTAGATTTAAAATTCCTTCTTATCTTTGTACAAAAAATCTTATCTAATTGTATAGAAAATCTGATCTAAGTGATTTCCGTATATCAAGATTTTTTCTTAAAAATCTTAACAGATATTGTAAATTATGAATCTCAAAATATTGAGTCATCGTCTTCCTCACTTCAACCTCCTACGAAAAAAAATATTCCCAATCAGTATTTCATTCAAAATAATGAATCAAGAATTTAGCTTAATCAAACAAGTTAATAGGTCTTTCATCCAATACTTCTTATTGTACAATTTTCCTACGTATTATAAAATTTTAGTTAATATTGCATCTTATAATATAATATTACACAAATAAATATATTTCGTGTCTCGCACGGGTCACGTACTATATATATATCCCGTACATTTTTCTTTATTCATGTATATAATTATAAGCCTGGATAAATAGCCTTAAAATTGTACACCACGTGCATCGCACGGGCTCTGCACTAGTACTAGAGGAAAAACGAACTGACACTGACAATTCGGTGAAATATATCAACTACTTTTCTGGAAATTACATTATCATTCTACAGTATGGAACCTAACCTAATTAACAATTAGTTAGGTCAGATATATAGGGTATTATATACAGGGGCGGAGCCAGGATTTATAATTTATCCGGACTAAAATTATAGCAAAAAATTATGATAAAATTAAAATTATGATAAAAATTATAGCAAAAAGTCAATGACACTTCATTAGACAACAAGAGAATTAAAATTAAAAAGAGAGAAAAAGAACACTTGTTAGGCATAAATTTAACTTGTTGAACAAATTATTTCTCAAATTTCAATGAACTGTTTAATTTTGTCATAAAGCCCCTCAAAATAAAATGATATTTATGAGATGGTTATATAAATTTAAAATTGTTTGATAATTTTATTTGATGTTATTATGCTTTATATTATAACTAGTTAGACTAACATTCTAAACATTGTTCAATATCCTTTAAATATATATATATATATGATTAAAATTATATAAGTTTTAAGTATATATATTACAATTTAAATTGTATAATTTTTAAGTATATAATATATATTATACATATACATGCTCCCAAAAAGTCTACCCGGGCTAAAGCCCGGGCAACAATCAACATGGCTCCGCCCCCTGATTATATACCACAAAAAATTGTCATATTTCAAATAAAAATTATTGCAACAATTGGTGTTCGAAGTTCGATTGAGATCGACACTAAAACATTCCATTGTAATTATATTTATGTTGGAATTCTAACTGGAAATCGAGGACTCTAACACTCATTTCTCCAAGGGTTTATTATTAGAAATTTTTATTTGAAATAATTTTTTCCGCTAATAAGTCAACCATTCAAAAAATTACAGTCGACGTGTCGAACAGATAAAATCTAACAGAAAATTATTGAAATTTTCCAACAGAATCTATAACATTGGAATATCGACAATAATTGAAAAAATTACTATCCAGATAAAATCTAGTAGAAGGTTATTGAATTTTTCAACAAAAGTTATAATAACATTAGAATATCCATTTCGAGTTGGAATAGAAATATATTGATGTTTGATATTTTCTAATTCAAGCATACCCCCATTTAACTTGGTATTCAATCCAAGTTATATCCATTACTTTTTTTACTTAGCTTTAAAGCTCAATCATCTTATACAAGTCAGCTCCTCAAGGAAAATAATTCTAATGTTATTCCTCTGTACATTTTGCTTTCAGGAACTTTTTTTTCTTCTTCACNTTCCACCACCCTCGCGATGCCGCCCCCGGACCCGATCCGGTGCGACCCAGCCAGCTGCACCCTCGACAACTCGTACGGCGCCTGGCCCGACCGTGAGCCCTGCCGGGCCTCCGCCGCCGCCTACCCCGCCACCGAGGACGAGCTCCGGTCGGCCGTCGCCTACGCCGTCCGCAACGGGATCCGGGCCAAGCCCGTCTCCGGGTTCTCCCACACCATACCCCGGTTCGCGTGCCCATCGGGCCGGAACGGGCCGGGCTCGCTGTTAATCAGCACGGCCCGGCTCATCTCAGTGGATGTAGACCCCCGTAGCCAGACGGCGACGGCGGGATCCGGGGTCGGGCTCCGGGCACTGGTGGATCGTCTGGCGGAGGAGGGGCTGAGCCTGGCGGCGGGGCCGTACTGGGAGGGGGCGAGCGCCGGCGGGGCGGCGGCCACGGGGTCCCACGGGAGCTCGTGGTGGGGGAGGGGCGGCGCGTTGCACGACCACGTGGTCGGCGTGCGGCTGGTGGCGGCGGCCGGCGGGGAGGAGGGCTACGCGAGGGTGCTCGACCTGAGGGCCGGCGACCCGCTCTTCGAGGCGGCGAGGGTGTCGCTCGGAACTCTTGGCGTCGTCTCTAAGGTCATTTATTGGGACTTGAGTTGAATTAACAGTACATATGAAACTGTAAATATTTTACTATTAGTTTCTCAAATAAAGTAACGATTTATTTTTTTATTGTTTTTTTGGTCCTCAAATCGAATTCGATAAAATTATAATTTTTATTAGGATAAAACTAATCATCATAAAATAACCCTAGTGCAAAGACCTTTCTTATATTCTTAATCAACCATCAAACTAAATTGTGAAATTTACACCTTTTTTTTGTTGTTCTCAATCAAATTTGATAAAATTATGATTTTTTCTAGGTTACATTCGCGTTAGAACACGGGTTTAAAAGAAGCATCACGTACAACTTCAAGAACGATGATGGTATCGAGGACGAGTTCATGGAGCACGCCAAGAAAAACGAATTTGGCGACATCCAATGGTACCCGTCAAGACGTATTGCAGTTTACAGATACGACAATCGTCTTCCTTTGAACGCATCCGGAGATGGAATCAATGACTTTATAGGATTTCAATCAAATCCCACCATTGCAACCCAAACAATTCGAGCTTCGGGTAAGTGTTTATAGTTACATGATTTCCTTTACAAGTGTACTAAATAGTAAATACATTGCTCTCACTATTTATCTAACATGCCATGATTATGACTTTGTTTAAGACTTCCTAAACTTCATGTATGGGTGTAGAAGAATCAAGTTGAACTAACAGGTGGTGCTAAATATATGAATCTAGCTTAAGTATATAGCTTGTATCATGTTGAAAAACCTTTTCTTTCTCTCTGATAATCAATGCAGAAAAAGCCGCTGAAAAAACCCGAGACGCGAAGGCCAAATGCCTACTTGCGACCTCCTTCCTCGCGTACAAGAAATTAACGGCCAACGGCCTCAAAAACAACAAACTAATCTTCACCGGCTACCCGGTCATCGGTCACCAAGCCCAAATGCAAACCTCGGGCTCGTGCCTATATTCTCCTGAGACAATCAAGTCCGCCGCGTGCCCTTGGGACCCGAGAATCAACGGCCTATTCTTCTTCGAGTCGACCGCCATATTCCAACCTTCGAAATTCGCCAACTTCATACGCGACGTGAGAAAACTTCGCGACCTAAATCCCAACAGCTTTTGCGGCCTCGACATGTACAACGGTCTATTGGTACGCTTCGTGAAGAAATCCACGGCCTACTTAGGGCAAGACGAGGACTCGGTTGCGGTCGATTTCAACTACTTCAGGGCAGACAGAAAGTCGACCCCGAGGTTGAATCAAGACGTTTACGAAGAAATCGAGCAAATGGCGTTCTTCAAGTATGGGGCCAAACCTCATTGGGCCAAGAATAGGAACGTCGCGTTTATTGATGTGAGGAGAAAATACGCGGGCTTCGGCAAGTTTTTGAAGGCTAAGAAAATGCTCGACCCGGAAAATGTGTTCTCAGGCGGGTGGTCGGATGAGATATTGTTCGGGGAAAATGGGTTTTTGGAGAGTAGTGATGGGTGTGCTTTGGAAGGTGGGTGTGTTTGCTCCGAGGATAGGCATTGTAGCCCTAAGGATGGGTATTTTTGCAGGCGTGGGCTTGTTTATGGTGAGGCTCGGGTTTGTAGATATTCTTCTTCATCAACGGACTAAAGGAAAGGTTAAGTGTGTGTGTGAGATTGTGTGTGTAGAATAAAGATTGATTAGATATGTATTTTGGATATGTTGTGCGAGATTAATTATAGTATTGTTTTAGGGACTACAAGAGTGGTCAAATTTGGAAGTGTCTGTAGATGTGAATTTTGACTTTGATTTGACTTAGGTTAGTTCACTGTTCAAATAGAAAGAAAAGATTATGGATTATATAGAAATTCAAGAATAAGAGCATCTCCAATTGTTTGTATATTGTTCCATTCCATTGTTAAATAGCCCCAAAAATCCAATGTGGCATGTAAAATTTCTAGAAGTCTTTCTAAATGTAGAAATATTTTTAGACATCTTCTATTTATATTATATTATTTATTTTATATATCTTTCTCCATCAACTAATTATTATATTACACATGTCAATTTATTCACCAATTGACATTCACCATTGGAAATAAACTATTTTTATTTCTTTTCATATTAAAATAGATATTATGCCATTGAAGATGCTCTAAGTAATCTATTATAAGCTGTATCTGTTTGTGTCATGCAGATCTAACGACAAACAATTATGTATTTTTAGTAGATGTGTATATTTTCAAATGGACATGTCATACTCTAAAAAACATTAACATAAATAGAAATTTACATTATTAGTGAAGTGACACAAAATTTGTAATATTAGTTAGGTTGATGACATATACGTGTTCTTTCAAAATGAGTTATATTGTGAGAATGAAAATACACAAAAGTATTTTATTTAATTTTGCAAAAAATTGTGATATAAAATAAAAATAATCAAATGAAATCTTGAGAAAAAGGGGAAAATTATTAGAGTGATTCAGATTGCAATATACAAAATCATGTACTAAAATTACTTTTCTACAAAAATGAAAAGAGGAAAAAAAAGAAAAGGGAACAACCGCACATTTATTCACGTTATTGTTTTCAGATATTACACAGGAGCACCACAGTCAAATCATTATTTCATCTGACAAACTTTGATCAGCAAATTAAAAAATAAAAATAACACTACGAAATCTAGGCCGTCGGATCATCTGCCGTCCTCCCCCATCTCCGGCCGTCCATTTCCCTCAAGTATCCTTAGCAGCTGGGCACCTTTTCGCCTCCCCCTCGCGCTGCACTCCCCCTGCAGCGCCAGCGCCACCGCACGCGCTACCTCCTCCGCCGGAGCCACCGCCGCCTCTCCTCTTCCCCGCCCGCCGTAGACCACCGCCAGCACGCTCATCGCGTGCTCCCTCCCCCTCCCCGATGCGCCCCCCATTACCTGCACCAACATCGGCACTGCCAGCGCGTGGGACCCCACCGCCGTCGCCCCCTCCGCCGTCGTGCACATAAGCTCCAGCGCAGCCAGAGACCGCTCCGCCACCGCCCCCTCTGCGTCCGCCAGCGCCTCCACCACCGCCGCCACTGCCCCCGCCTCCACCGCCGACCGCCGGTTCACCTCCGCCAGGCAAAGCGCCAGGAGGACCTTGCTCGCCGCCTTCCGCCCGACCCCGCCTCTCAGGCACCCCACCACCCCTCCCACCACAGCCGCCGGACAGCCGCCGTCCGTGCCCGGGTTCGCAACAAGGGCCCGCTCCAGCAGCTGGAGTGCCCCAACCCGACCCACGTCCGAACCGGACCCGAATTGGGCCTCCGCCACGCGGAACACCTCTTCCAGACCGGCGGTGGGCGGTGGATCCGCCTTCCGATCGGGTTCGGGATCAGGCCTCGGAGAGTTGGGCAGAGGGAATCTCCACTGTGTGAAGCTCTGGGAAGTGTTGGAAGACGACGAGGAGGACGACTCCGGAAGCTGCGGCGGCGGCTGGGGTGGCGGCGGCGCGTGGGGGAGGGGCGGCGGGGTCGAGCTTTTGGGGCTGAGGACGGTCTGGGTGCACTGGCGGAAGAAACCGCAAGAGAAGAGGGGCTTGAGCTTCAGCTGGTCGGTTTTCATGGCGGGGCTACGGCGGAGAATTCGCCGGAGTTTGATTTTTCACGCTCTAGTGTGTGTGTGAGAGGGAGAGAATGAGGGAGAGATGGTTTGTTCAGTGGGTTAGTTGGATCTACATNTGTGGGGACTATTGTTCATTGGTTTTTGTTATTATTTAACAAGGAGAGAATTGGTGAGAGTTGTTGGGTTGTGGCCCAGTCATGTTTTGGGCCTTCATATTGAGCTTGTAATATTGTGCCGGTCTTTGGACATGCTTTAATAGGCCAATGAAGTAGGTTCAATTTGTGTTATTTATCTAGGGCTTCGTTTCAAACACTCATTAATTGACTTTTCAATATAAAAGTTCAGTTAATTATTAATTAATGTTTGATGGATAATTAATAATAGACTATTAAACTCTAGAAAGTCAAGTTTAAAAAAAGCATAGATTATTTTAGCTTTGATTCTATTTTTGATTTACGGAATTGCCACTTACCCACATATTCTTATATGATATGTTAATCTACTATCAAATTAATTAGTAGAACCGTTGAAATTAATATTATTAACTCGTGTCCATTAATGTTCTCTATAGTCTATACTGAATATTCAGCATTATCGATTCTTTTCCTCTTCCAACTATTTATGTAGGAAAGATATTCGTAGCCAGGCACAAAGGCAAAGGAAGCGCTGTCATCTCCTACTACAAACAACACAGAATCCAGAGGCTATGAATATCAAATTTAAATTGCAATGACTGAAATTAAAGTGATACAGAAAGAGAGATAATGACCGCTCAAAATATTTTTCATTTTGAGCAAACATTTTTCACATGGTCTTTTTGGTCACTATTGTGTATAAATGCAGACTGCAGACAGCCAAGAGTATGTAAGAAAAATAGGAAGATTAGATGAGATAAGTTGTTTGGGTTTTGAATGCAACTAAGTTACAATAGACAAGTCATTGTTATTAATGAATTATTGGAAGAGATAAGGTTACGGATACCACTCGTTTGCCAATCAATTTTGGCTACTTTTGCTTTTTTCCACCTTCATTATTCCACAACTACCACCATGACTATATTTGTATAAACCAACAAAATTTTATTGAGTTTCAAACTAAGATATATCATCCATATATTCATTTTAACCTAACATTCACTGAAGTGTAATAGTT